CTGAGATGCCATGACTGTGCAGTCGTAAACGACTTCAACTGTGCAAACATCAGGGAGTGTCCTTTCGAAATCCGGCGCTGTCTGACCATCTCCATCCGTAAGTAGCTCACGTTCGCACGCTGTGGGTTGGTCACCCGACCTGAGCAGTTTTGGGGAAAGCCAGTCATTTTTCTCTCTGCCCCAGCCCTGTTACTCCCCTGCCTTGATGGCTCCCTGTCCTGAGAGTGTGTACACAGCCTCCAGATGCCGCTTCTGACAGGGAACAGTGCACTCACAGAGCCAGCTATTCTGCAAGGTAGTGTCATGAGCCAACATGTCACCAGGGGCTAGAGCAGTGCTAGGTCTCAAGGTTTTTTCACCCGTCAGCCCCTGGTCACGTGTATAGACACTCCCATGCAGCCTGGGTGAGTCCTCAACAGCCGCTTGATGTCTAGTCATTGGAGGAGGCCGCCTGGTTAGAGGGGTGAAAGCAGGGAGTGCATTCTGAACCTCTCAGGGCTGTGCCCACCACACACAGATGGCAAAGCCAAGGGCAAGTTTGGGGCAGAACCAGGCCTTCTAAGATGCACTCACTTCTAACTCAGAGTCCTCCAGTGATGTGAGAAGTGTCCCTCTCCCCAGGGCCCTAAGCTGAAGAAGACGGAACGCCAGAGGCCCACTGACCTCTCGAGCAAACAGGGTGGGAGCAGGCTGCACAGGTCCAGGCAGATAGGCTCTGGCCTTCTCGGGAACCCAAGGCCTTGCTCAGTACCTTCCTTCTAGCCCTTGCTCTCCCGTGTCTAGGATCATGTCTGCTGCTTCACAGATCATGTTCCCAGCTCTGTATAAGGACATCCTCTTCTTACCTCCCTTTAGTGTCCCACCTGTGGTTCCTCTGAGAGCCCCTGCTCATTTGGAAGCTATCTGGGTAGCTGAGAATCTGGTCTCATTTCCCACAAAAAGGCCCCCATTGAGGGACATTTATGGGGTTACTGCTCCTGAGGAAAGCTGGGAAGGAACACTTTTTCCATGAATCTCCACCCCATGTGGTTCTGGGTTATAGTTGGCACAGAGAAAGTCTAGTGAGATTTACAGGGTTGAGTTGACCCAGAGACCATTACACTATAATGCATAGGTAGACACTAGTAGACTCCAATCTGTTCTCACTGTTATCTTTCATACCCATTACATCTCTACTGCTGAATTTTTTTTTTTTTTTTTGCAGAGGTTTTTGCTATAGGGCGCGTGCGCTCGCCAGACAGACAGAGAGAGACATAGAGACAGAAAGCGAGAAATCACCCCCCAGGGGGGATGGTCACGCCGCAATCCCTTCTCCATTCTCCTCTCAGGATCTTGGGCACGCACGCACACGCGCCCAGCGTGAGTTTTAAGCGACCGGGTCCGGGACGCGAACCACGGTCGACTACGTGGGAGTCCAGCGACATAGCCATTACGCTAACTGCTGGTTCCCTCTACTGCTGAATTTTTTGATGGCAGTAGTTCCTGAGGCCCCCACATGTGCTTGGTTCCAGGCTGCACATGTGAGAGGTGCTCTGATGGAGCAATTTAAACATCTCAGCAAGAGACCCTTTGGACAGCCTTGCTGGGAGAATGTGGTGCGTGCCTTCTGCCGTTTTCTAGCCACGCTGGACTTTTCCTTGTGACCTGAGCTCCATGCAGACCCTGCTCCCAACTGTCCCCATGACCTTCAGCTTCTTGGATTTGCTTCCTTCCCTTAGGTTCTCCCACAGATGTGGAAGCCATAGAACCTAAATAGTCAAGCAAACTGCTTCAGGGTCTGTCTTCCCCACTGAACCTGCTGGATACTGGGACAGATAATCTATAAGAGCCTTTGCCAAAACTGTGGGAATGCCAGGATTGTTGAGCATTTTTCTGTCAGAATAAT